CGACACAAATTCAGAAGTGCCAGTACAAGTCGAAAACGTTCCGGCGCATGCTGCAAGTTAAACCCTCCAATAAGGTGGGTTTTAACGTTGCCCGTGACGTCTTGATAGATAGCAAATAATTCTAGCTCGAAGCCCGACGCAGCATAGCCAAACACATACGGCACTCCACCGTAGGACCACACCAGCTTTTTCGAGAGCTCCTCACGAGGCACAGTGATAGAAGTACGAGGTTCTTTCTCCTCACCACGAAAAACACAGATATGATCCAAAGCAAACAAAAAGTCGGGTCGCTTCAAACCTGACGAGGATTTCCTGCTCGAATCCCGGTTGACGTAAGCACGCCTAAACACAAACCCGAGCACCACACGGATAATTGAATCCCAGAAATAATGAAATGCACTCTCTGTGGCATCCCCATCCACCTGCGGGTACAGGAACGCAGCGCTAAACACCGAATCTTTTAAAAAATCGCACGGCGAAATGTCGTTTAGCTCGAACAATTTATCTCGAAGGAGTTGGCCTAGTATCAATGGACTCGACCAAGCTTGAAACACAGACTGCGGTAACCCAATCTTTACAGGGAGAGGTTGTCCGATAAATTCATTTAGATCTCCGCGTGTCGGCAGTAGCGTAAGTTTTGCAACTTCACAATGTTGAAATCTCGACAGCCATAAGTCCGTCCCATCAGAAATAGGAGCACTACTTGTCCCAGGAGGCAACGCCACCAGCACGTGAACAGGTGTGTTCATCGACTCGACATCCTCTAGCGTGGGTACGAACTTGACGTCCTTCTCCGACAAGCCAACCAAGCTGAGCGGCGCTCCTGCAACGCCCAATAGCTTCAAATCACTCGTGTCACTGACACCGTCCTTCACGTCGTTCTCCGTTAGCCACACCCCAGCGCCTTTCTTCTTCTTCGCCAGGAAGAGCTGCAGGTTCTTGGCGTCGCATGTGATCGTCGATGCGTTCTCCTCCTTGATCGCCTTCTTCAAGTGCCCCACGGACTTGTTCTCGTCAATGTCCACAGGGAACGCGCTCCCAGACACACCAACGACGGCACAGTACAAAGTAACCATATTACGGCCGAATCCTGGAGTGAGGAAAAAGGGGAGAATTTCCGTTCGTATTTAAACGGAATTGAAGAGACATCCTCTCATTTTATGTTAAGCGTTAGGTTTATGATATAAATCTTATTAATACGTACTGACCATATTAAATGGTCCATTATAAATGGTCAGTACTCTTAAGTCTTTCTTACAGCATTACTGTGACTTCGATATAGCATATATCGTCGGAGATAAACCGACGCGTCACTCTAAGTTAAGAGCGTAACATTAATATTTACACAATAGCAAGCATTCAATGAACAAATCCCAGAAACTTATTCCCTAGCCAAGCAAATACGTTCTTTGATAGTTATACCTCAACAATTTCATAACTCGTTAAAAGGCAAGCGGTGTAATATAAATGAATTTACTTGATATTTGTATTGGTTGAAACTGTGAAGTTCCCGCCACACCAACAATCGCACCATATTTCCGAGCCGGCTGATTCTGGAATGAGAGAAAAGGGGATAAAATGATGCTCCCGTACTTGAGCGGGAAAAGAAGGTGGTGTCACAGAAGGGGGAAAATTTTGCACCCGCTCTCTGGATTTTATCCAAAGCCCCGTGATAATCCAGCGATTTCGTTTACCCTTTCATAACAGTTTTCGAAGCGTATGAGTGCTCATTTTAAAAAGCAGCCAAATAATAAACGTAAATGCTACAGTCCCAGTTTCAGGTGTAGAAATAAACCAAGTATTAAACCAAGTATTGTCCATGTTGTAATTTACAGCCTCGTATTTTATAAAATACCGTCACGTATTGTATCGCTCCACGCCTGCCTTTCATTTTAGTTTTTTTAGGTTTCTAGTCTGTGGCGCTCCCGTAGCTCCTGTCACTCGCTCCATCTTCACCCCTGCTCGTCTCGAACACCTCCTGACGTATCAGCGCCCCCCCCTGCAAACGCTGCCATCGCTGCCCATGCAGTCCGAACCACCCGCTTCATCTGCGTCTGCGTCTAAGGTGCGTGTACATGCAACTCCACTTATTTTACGGGATTAACACTGTGTTATACTTGCGTGTATTGCGTATCGTTAGTCCTCTGGTGAGTCGTCAGGCGTGCCCTCGACGGCTTGCCGCCACGTAGTATCTGGCATGGAGTCTTCTTGCGAGGCTTCTGAAAACATGGACAATGAGAATCATCCAAGTATTGTCCAGGAACTAAAGACACCCGTGGTTGTGCCTGGTCCGGTTGACTCTCCATATCCAAGTTGGGCTGCGTGGACAGCGTACCTGAAGGATTATGCCTTGCAGACGCGTCAGATCATCCGGGTCTTCGGAACACTAAGTTGCGATTTAAGGAACAAGCGTCTGGCGAATACTGTGGCCGCCAAGAAAGGTTTAGACGTTCCATACGTGCCTGAGGACTGGATCATGTACATGCGTACATACATCTGCACTCATGGCTGGCCTGCGAAGATCCGAACAACCGGTAAGCGCCCCAAGCACTTCGTCCGCGCGACAGGGTGCAAGTTTCGTTTCGTGGTCCAAATGGTGGAGGAGGGGGTGTGTGGGTGCTTCGAGTACAGAATGGCCTTTACCAGCACAACCACGCAGTAGCCACCGAGCATTTCTTGACGTACGCAGAGAATCGAAAGGTTGGTTGTGCGGACACAAAGGACGCTGTCATTACTATGGTTAATCATGGACGCAAACGCGCCCGCATCTACGAGTATCTTCTCGCGAGAGGAGAGCACTTGGTTAAGAAAGACGTGGACAACTTGGTCCAGCGTTTTAAGAGCGAGGGTCGTGGTGGGATTGACGACGACGATGCTGTAGCGCAGGCTCTCGCTGTATTTGGCGCACAAGATGGTAACGTTGTTACGGTGGATGAGACTGACGCGGGTCACTCCGGAGTAATGAGCATGACGTCTCGCCACCAGCGGGAGATGATCACGCGCTTTCCGGAGCTTTGGCTGGTAGATTGCACCCACAGGACCAATCGGTACGTGTATTGTCCATGTATTATACTTGTTTTATTATTATTTGGTCCAAGTATTGGACCAAATAAATCTACATGTGTACTCCTTGATTAACGAGTTCTGTTCTTTAGGTACAATTACCAGCTGTGTACTTTGATGGCAATCGATGACAAGGGTCGAGGGCAGCCTGTACAGCAATCACTACTAGAACGAAATGCTGACTGGCATATGTCGCGTGCTTTGGATCATTTACTCCGAGTGGATCCTGCTATTACTGACAATATGTCCAGGTTATCATGGTTGACAAAGACCTGAATGAGATCCGAGTTCTTCGCACCTACTTTCCTAACGCCCGAGTTCTCATATGCTTCTTTCACGTTATCAAATATCTTCGCACTGCTTCGCGGAAGCCCGAATATGGCAAGATATCGTCCGACGACCATGATGCAATAGACACGTTAGTGCATAATATGGTGTATGCAGTATGTGAGGAAGTCTACCAGACCAATTGGAGATCGATGAATCCCCACTGTACCAGAACTGGGTTCACCTCGTTTTACGAATACATGGATGAGAACAAGAACAAGTGCACGGACATGTGGGTTATGTATAAGCGCGCTCGGTTGGCGCACTTACGCGTGCATACCAACAATCATTTGGAAACCTGGTTTGGTCACTTCAAGGATGCTGTACATCACAATATGACCATGACCGATACGGTGAAGGCGCTGAAGGCAGCTGATGACAGGACTCGCAGTGAGTACGTGTTTGACAAGACCCGTATCGGTGTTCTTGTAAACCGAAATTACGATGAGGAGATGAGCCAAGTTCTAAAGTTTACGTCCCACTTCGTCGCGGAACACGTGGAAAAGGAGTATGTTATGGCTATCTCGAAGGTGGATATTTTCAAGTTCGACACGAAATCGAAACCGGGTTTTGTGGCGGTCACCGGGAAACACAAGGTACATTTCGTTCAACTAGATACGTGGAACTGCACCTGTTCGTTTGCATGTGCCATGAGACTGCCGTGCCAGCACGCCATCTCGTACCGAAAGTGGAGTAAAATAGGTGGATCCATCATCCCGCTTAATAGGATCGATGAAAGGTGAGTTGTTTTCTCGATTCATCTTTGATTAAGCTAAGATTCAACCATGATGTATGTATGAATGATACATGATTCGTCCATGTATCATTCATGATTCGACCGGGATACACTAACAAAACCTATGTTGTAATATATATGAGCAGGTGGCTGCATCCGGTGGACTAGTCCGTGACCCCTCGACTTTTTGTGGTCAATGAGTTCAAGCCTGGACAATGGAAACAAAAAGCCCTCGATGCTGCCACCAAATACAAGGAGGCGCTCAGTGCAACGCAAGCCATATGTAGCGAGCTCGCTGATATCGAAAGTGACGACGAGTATCACGAGCTGTTGCAGCTTGTCCTCGACCAGTGGAGGAATATCCGACAGCGAAAGCGGTTGAAGGGCGTACCGAATACCGAATCTGCTAACGAAGGAGTACACGAGAAAAATGCAGACACTGTCGCGTCTCCAGAGATCCTGAAGATTCACGACTGCGAGACCAACGCGGTTGCCGCTGTGGCGAATCGGAAAGCGAGTGTTGATGAAAATGGTGAGGAGGACAGAAGTCCTCCTGCTTTTCGAATTAATTTAAATCCAAAGGCTGCAAAGAGTGGACGACCTCGATCCAACAGGAAGGATAGAACTGCCGAAGACAAGAAGAAGCGGGCCGTATTCAACGAATCGGAAGGCCATCGTCGCAGCATGGGCGAGGTCTCTCTGGTCCAGCTGGCGTGCAATCTACAGGAAGAAAAGCAGTGTATGCAGGAGTTCCTGATTCGTGTGCAGCCAATTCCAATCAAGTTCGAGCGAGCGGTCAACAAGAAGCCCAAATACGTTCGCCTCAGCGTACCGATACTCAATGAAACCGCGTTTTACCTCCTCCCGATGAAATTGCTGCAGAAGTGCGTCTCCGCGTTGCCTGTGAAGAATACGCCTGATACTGCGATTTCGGTCTTCTCTCAGAGTCAGTCTACACAAGACAGCCAGTCAACACAAGATAAGGAACTTGGAGAACACACATCTGGACAAAGCATGGATAATCCTGGACAAAACATGGATAATCCTGGACAAAACATGGATAATCCTGGACAAACCCCAGATATTGAATGTGTGGAAATCACTGGAATTGGTATCTTCTCACGAGCACAGATAGAAGCGATGCTTTACCTGACTACCATGAAGAATCAATGCGAGCAAGAGCTCGCATTTTGCAAGTGGCTGATGGACGATGTCGTCAGTGTTGTAGGAAGTGCACTACATCCAACGCTACAGGAGATGACAGATCAAGTTGCGCGCTCAAATCCCCAAGACATCATCCAAATTGAAGGTCATGAATATCTCTACGCCATGCTATTCCGTATGAAGCCCCCTTCCTGGGCAAATGACGCCCTGATTCTCGCATTCTGCGCCAGACTTTGTCCAACTAATTCAACGGCTTATGTAGTTGGGATCGAGAATGCTGTGACGGGAAGGAAAATGAAGACATTTACAGAAACGATCAAGGCAAAGGCACAAATGCTGAAGAGTTGTGCCGAGACTCTGTTCATCCCAGTCAACTTCGGGAACACACACTGGTGTGGTATCATTGTGGACGTCAAGGGAAACCAAGTAATGTACTACGACCCCATGAACCAAAAGTCTTACAACAGCGTACTGGACCGAATGTCGTGGGATTTGGCCGAAACGCTGAGCGATGCCTACCAGGTACTGGCTATCAACTCGCCAATCCAAACAGACGGTCATAACTGTGGCTTCTACGTCATGCTCAGGTTTTGGCGTTACGTCGACAAAAGTATCTTGTTGGACTTGACCCAGACTGGTCTCACGCTACTGCGGTTCCGTATCCTACAATTCCTGCTAAAGGGTAGCATTTCAAACTAACTCACTCAATCGAATTCGTTTTTACTCTATCAATCTGATCTATGTCTACCCGTACCTGTGTGCACTATGTCTACCCGTACCTGTGTGCACTATGTCTACCCGTACTTGTGTGCACTATGTTTACCCGTACCTGTGTGCACTATGTCTACCCGTACTTGTGTGCACTATGTTTACCTGTACAATACATGGAACGGTACATGGATCGAACATGGATTAGTCGTTATTTCTCACTATCGAGGCAAAGACATTCGCTTCAGGATCGATCCGAATCACTTCATCTCAATATGAATTTTAATTACCAGATCGGTAATTTATGGACAATACTTGGTTAAATACTTGGATTATTTCTATACCTGATACTTGGACTGTAGCATCGTCCAATAATAAATGCACGTACAGACAACGACACAAAAAGCCGGAGTTGATAACACAATTCCGATAGTAAAATCTGCGACATAAAAAACGGGAAAACGTCAGAACGCGTATCATCCTGAAACGTTTTGTCAGTATGTGTGAAACGTGTGTCAATAAGTGTATGGGCTGCCATCGGTATTGACAGTATGTGACAGTCTCAAAACAAACGCCAACAGGTGTATGAAAGTGAGGTTTGTGTGTCAAAATGTGTAGTTGGCAACCGTTTGGACGTGTACACACACTTTCAGCCGTGTTATAAAGTGTCGGTGTATGCCAATGCATTTCACGCTAAAGCTGTCTTTATACCGATAGAATCAGATATCACTCAGAGTTCCGAATGGCTACCTGCAGTTTTCACAAAGAAACCGGGACGCCCCAAGACGAAGCGCATAAGAAGTGTTGGAGAGGACGGGAATAGATCTTCACAGAGTTGCTCAAGTTGCCATCGGAAAGGCCACAACAAGCGTTCATGCACGCAATCGGATGGCACATAACACATTCAAAAAGAGTGTCCCTCAGTCGCTATAGAGCAACAAAGAATTCAATTTCGTGTTTTTTTTGTTTTGTTTGAACATTTAGAAGGTCACTCAGCTCCGGGTTTTTTTATTAGTGTCCCTCATTCGCGATCGAGCAATAATGAAGTCACTTTCATGTTTTTTTGTTTTGTTTGTGCATTTAGAAAGTTACTCAATTCCGGTTTTTTTGCGTTATAGTAACCCTTAAGAAGAATCGTCACTGCTAACGATAGAGTCACCACAGCATCCATCCGCACCACACTGGCATTTAAACCATAATTCATCGCCATAATCAACAGTGACCTCGCTTCCAGCTCGAATATCCTCCATCGTAACGACAACCACCGTGACGAAGCGGCGGTTTTGAACCTCGTAAAAACGGCAATTTGCCGCACAGGAATGATTCATGAACCGCGTAATGTTTCCCTTGAATTTCGCCTCGATCCACAAGTTCTCCTTGCGCGACGACCGCGCGGCCAAACCGATGGTGTAGTTGCTGGTTCTTTTCTTGTCCTTACGATAGTCGTGTGTTGTCAACACACCAGCGTACTCAGCAACAATACTTCCACTTTCAATATCCTCAGACGTGAAAACAGAGTATCCAATATTTCCACGCGCTAGGTGCAGGCCACTCACAGTTCTCAGTCGATTGCCACAGTCAGATCCGTTGAGGCAGTTATTCCGAGCACAAAATATGCTACCCAGTGCATTTGGGCAACCATCCGGTCGGCAAATTGTGTCGCAGCCACACCAATCCATCGGCCCTAAATCGGGTACCAAAATGTTGTTTGAGATCTCGGTATTGGTTATCTCCATTACATCAGAAGGCCATGGAACTACGTCATTATCTTTCTGTAGGAGCAAAATGTTCGCTTTCTCATTTTCGCCCGTCTCAGAAGCTCCGTGAGAACGTTCGCTAGACCTGCTGTCGTTTTCGTCGCTGGACTCGTCCAAATAAATTATATCTGGTATGAAAGTCCAGTACACATTGTCGATTTCATCGTGAAATCCGGTGTCAACGTCGTTGCATTCAGTCTTGTCATGGCTGCTTTCGTCACCACTCTTCATTAAACTGATAATCTCACGAGGCGAAATAGGCGGAGCGCAATACTCTTCGCGATATTCATTTGGCTGATGTGCTGTATTAGAGCCGCAATCACTAGCTTCATCACTCACTCTCTCTGTATCTTCATTGTCGCTAGTATCATACAAAACAATCACTTCCGGAAGGTTAGCAATATCTTTGCCAACAGAGCCTACTTCACCATGCTCTGGGCAGGGGTCTGAATAAAAAATTTCAGTATCACTAAAAGCAGTTTATTTAAATATAAAAACGGATTACTGCAACTTCCTTAAACGTATGAATATGATATTGCTCCAATATTTCCAGTATAATTTACAAAAGTAGGCTCATAGAAACTTTAGATGCCTTACGAAACAATCGGACGTCTAAGCACCGTATCTTGATGTCTGTATTGCCCATACTAGCTCTTAGTTATGAATCTGATAGCCAATCATTATCTCAGAGTCCACAAACAAGCAGCTTGCTATATGATCAACGGAGACGTTCTTTCAGCTGCAGAAGCTGCAGCGGTCAAGCGATTTGAGATCTTAAGCAGTGGTAGCAAGAGGAAGGCATGCAAGGAAGATTACGCGACGCATATTCTTAGTGTTGGTCCAAGCAAGCGTGCTAAGCATGGAGGAGAGAGTGGTGATATTATCTACAGCGAGTTGTTGAAGCAGCTACCCCCAACATCAAATGCATGCGAGCGATTACTCTCGCAGTGCAAGCTGGTGCTTACACCTTAGCGGACATGCATGTTGCCTGCCAGTTTTGAGCTGATTATGTTTTTTGCATGCAAACAGGAATATATTGGATGTGGCGAGGCTAGCTTCAGCTGGAAGTGACGCAGAGCTGTAGGCAATACTGTAATACTTACTGCAGTTTTTTTATTGGTATTTGTGGAATTTCCCTTTTTATTATTGCGCTGACCCACCGTCAATTCCGTATAATACTGTATTGGAGAACCCCTGGCTCTGGGGGTAAAATACCCTCTCCTGCCTCCTTGGTTAAATCGACCAGGTCCGTAATGAAAGAAAGTGCTTCGACTTCACGTCGGCTCTCCGCCCCAGTCTTCCATACACGCGAAATAAACGGGCCTCTGTAGCATGGCCCCTCCAGAAGGAGGCAAACTCGCCTAGCGGCGCCGTTTTCATCACTCCACAGCGGTAAGCCCGCTTAGAATCTCGGACTGGGGCCCGCCTCTTCATGTACCGCTGTTTCCTGCTCTTCGCCTTGAAATACCCGACTTTAGATAAATGCGCAACGCGTGAGATGCGCTCTTGATCTGCGTACAACGGCGCAGCTCTCTTCGACAGCGCCGCAGCTCGCGCCATCTCGGCGTCCCTCACTTGCTGGAATGTGATTGTCTCGTAAATGGGCCGAGTCTTCTGTGCTGAACAATGGGTTTCGCCCCATTTATCCCCATAACTTGTGACAGTACGTGTGCTCGGTTCAAACCTGCCGGTGACCATCACTCTGACTGGTTCTGTAACCGCTTTAGACAAATTTTTGCTCAATTGATACTTGTTCTGACGTTTTCCCTTTTAAAAAGCAGCCAAATAATAAATGCACGTACAGACAACGACCCAAAAAGCCGGAGTTGATAAACACAATTCCGATAGTAAAATCTGCGACACAAAAACTCGTACGACTAGCAAAACATGTTTTGATTGGATGAATAAAACTGAGAGTATTTACCGCTCCCTAACCTTGTAACCTGTCGGTCTGTCCGTCCGTCAGTCCGTCGCATTCCCCGTCTTGCTGCTTTTGCCTGCCTTTTTGCATGGCTACAGCCGGCCTGGCTAATACAGTTTCCTCCCATCGTACCGACCGTGCCTACCTTTCTGACTCGACCTAACTATGCTAAAATTACAATTATATCCAAAAGCGTGACACAATTAACTCACGCCCTGATTGGGCAATACCTGCCGACCTGCGACACTGACTGGATCTGTCGCACGATCAGACCGTCTCTCGGACTCGCGATTGGACGTGATGTAAACATTTCTGCCGAGAACGAAACGCATCAATTGGTTGCAAACAGCGAGGCGAGCTGCGCAGATACTTGGTTATTGAGATTTAGCTACGCAAAACCTGTCGTATGTACTGCAAATCGGGCACAGTAACCACTTTATTTTCTAAGAGCTCTACACACTTCTCAAATAGAGAAATTTATTATTATTAATGTAGCCTTCACAGACCAGTATTTTGTAAGAGCTCTGGGATGTTGTTTCAACACACTTTTCAAAGTAAAGACGATATTAATAGCATTAATATTATTAGTATAAGGTTCACAGGCTGCATTTTGTAAAAGCTCGGAGATGCTATTTTCCACAGACTTTCTAAAGAAGAGACGATAGTATTTTTAATATTAAAGAAGGCTTCACAACCAGCGCTTTTTGTAGGGACTTTGCGAATATATATATTTTTTACTTCACCTGGCACTCAACACTGCCACCGTGCAATGAAGGCGCGCGGCTGCACGGTCATTGCGCTATCTGCGCCCGTGCACCACACCCGACGAATGCATGCGCGCACGATACATAGTCTGTTAGTCACTTTTATTGCATGTAAAGTATGTATTTGTTTGGAAATCTGATAATAATATATTAAAGATAAGCCAAAAATTAATAATATACAACATTTAACTATTTTGCTTAATAATAAATATCAGCCTTTTATTACCGTGCTATTGGCTAATAATTAGACGAAAGTAATTGGTTAAAACAATATATTTTGCTAACATACTCACGGTTTGCAAAATGGTGGGCCCTACGTGCAAGCAATGCGAGGCGAAGATTGACCCGCTTCTGCTGAACCCGCAGCGGTCTACGACGGATCCCCGAGCGCGCTGCGTCTGCTGCGGGAAGCTGCAGTACGGCTACGCATTCCGTACAATCAGCGGGCGGGACATCGTGCGGCGCTGTATTGCCTGCGAGAACGGCCCAAAAAGCGGTTGAGTTTTGGGAGGAAAAGCCCCCACCACCTGATTCGGCCGATGTGCGCCGCCAGGAAAGCCTGGCGAACGTCAAGAAGGCGATGGGTCCTGACTGGTACCCCAAGAAGAAAAAGAGGCGCAGCCGCCCTCGCAAGCTGACCGCCCGAAACGCCAATTACATCGAGCAAAAGAAGCAGCAGAAGAGCAAGTAATTTGGATAATATATCCTTATTGCCCCCGTTACCCCGCTTATCTTTGTATTTTGTATACTGGCGGGCGGCGCGAGGCTTGGGGCCGTACATATGGTAAACTAACTGTGGTGCTGCCAAGCATCTACGGAGTGTAGCGCGTTTCGTATAATAATTAGCGCATGGTGTCTACTGTGTATCCTTGCGAGCTGGGCGTTCCTATCTGCAATACCGCGTTACCGGTAGATGGGAAAGTACAACTTGCTCACTTGGCACACCGCAAACCCCATGCTATTATGTACCACCCAACCCTCACAGTTTATATTTCACTAATGTGCGCTCACGAAATGTAAGCTTCAGTATCGAGTGAGCACTATGCGCGATGAATAAGCTGCTGTCTACATGGACACAACCACGTATGCGGTAGTGATGACCATACAAGCGGCCATCGCAAGGAGATGTGTCTGTACGCAGTACTTTACTTTAGTGCCCTGTCCATAATGGCCGAGATAAGAGCTCGGTTGAGTCATGGATGGCTATAATGTGTACCCGCCGCGCGCGTATATATTGCTTTGAATACTGCTAACAGACGCCTGATCAGCTTGCCTGTATCACCGCGGGTATGACCTGTGCCCGAATAGTGACGTGCTGGATCATATAGACGGATACATCATAATCGTAGGTACAGTAGGCTAGCACGACGATACAAAAGTACCGAGATCGCAGCAGTAACCCAGTGCATGGGTGTTGGCTATCACGACAACACCCATTGGCGGCATTGCGGGATATGCACGGACACATCAAATAGCACGCCGAGCTGATAAGTAGGCAGCGAAAGTACTCCATCTAATGTACATGAACTATTATTCAATTCAAGTCTAACCATCACTACGATCTGATACTCTGCCTACAGCCATATATCTTCGTATGTTGCAGCCGGTCAAAAGAATGTGCACGCAGTGGTGCCTCTTCGTCCGATGTGGACGAGGCCTTTTGTCGTACAAATCAGGACCCAGTATAATGTCAGTCGGAAAGGATTTACGCCACTCTGTCAGTCAGTATCTATGCAAAAAGGTCAGAAAGTACGTCAGCTATGCAAGTAAGATCAATGCATGCGGAAGATAGTGAAAATATACTTCAGTTACATCACAAACAGCTCAGCAGAATAATTTCAAAGCAAAATATTGATATTTGTGGCGACCATCGGCAAATACTACCTATCCTAAAAGATACATCGCGCGAGGAGCTGATTAACATTGCTCTGTTAGACCGTCGCAATCGATGATATGTGTCGACTGCCTCACGGCGATGACGTGCAGATGGGTAATATGTTTGAGTAGGCGTATTTTCTCCAGCTACACTGGGATTCATCACCGATCTACGCATATTTCGTAGCATCATTGATACTGACCCGTCTTCCGTACAGCATATATTAGCTTTGCAACCACGCGCGCCTCCGATTGGTGTCATTTTGGGAGCAATACGCTCAAACGAGATTATAGACAAAGCCTTCCCGGGTAAGATGGTGCTCTTCTTGCAGATCACGTTAAATCCTGGTCATGTCTACCAT